TAGTTGCGTTCGGGCGGGTGCAGCTTGCGGGACTCGTACGCGATTGGCTGGAGGTCGTTCCCAAAATCCTGCAACAGTACTGCTCCCACAGCGATGTCACTTGCGTCAGTGACGAGCTCGAACGGACGGTGTGGATCTGCGATGTGAAGCACGGGCGGTGAGCACAAAATGTTTTTGAGGGCCGAGAAGGCAACTTGCTCTTTCTCCCCCCACGTGTACTCAACCCCCTTCCTCAGCAGGTCAGTCAACGGGGCAGTCAGCTTCGCCATGTCAGGGACGAACCGGCGCACGTAGTTGACGAACACCAAAAAACTCTGCAACTCGGTCAAGTTGGTCGGCGCGTGCCATGCTTAAATCGTCGCAATTTTCTTCGGGTCTATTTCCACTCCTGTAGCTGAAATAACGTGGCCCAAAAATTCCAGGCGGTCCTGTAAAAACTCACACTTAGACGCTTTGGTCAGTAGGCGGTTCTCACTCAGGATTTTAAAAACTGCGTTGATGTCCTGTAAGTGCTGTGCTATGTCACGACTGTAAATCAGGATGTCGTCCAGGTCTACTATGACGCACTTATCTAAGAGCGGGCGGAAAACTTCGTTCATGGTCATTTGAAAAGTGGCGGGGGCGTTGGTCAATTCGAACGGCATGACGGTGTATTCGAAGGATCCGTAGCGTGTGCGGAATGCGGTCTTAGGGCAGTCGGGCGGGTTGACGCAAATCTGGTGATAACCCCCTCGAAGGTCGATTTTGGAGAAAACCCGGGCTGTGCGCAGTTGGTCGATCAGCTCGTCGGCTCGTGGGATGGGGTAACGGGATTTGATGGTAACTCTGTTTAGTGCTCTGTAATCTATGCACATGCAAAATCCCCCGTCTTTTTTCGGTGTGAACAGTATCGGTGCTGCGAAGGGCGATGAACTAGGGCGGATGAATTTCTTCGCAAGTAGATAATCGAGCTGCTTCCTGAGTTCGCCCAGTTCGGGCTGGGTCAGTCAGTTTTGTCGCTGTACTGTTGGCTGTGCCCCCGGTTCTAACTCTATCCTGTGGTAGTGCGGTCGCTGCGGTGGCAGTCACGTTGGTAAATCGTCCGAGAAAATGTCGCTGTACTGCTTCAATAGTGCTGCCAGGTCACTCGGTACGTCGGCCAGCGGTTTCTGTAAATCCCCTCCTTTGTCTGCTGCCTCGGCTTCCCGAATGTCGACTGCGTACACGTCAGCTCCTGCCGCTACGGCGCGTTTCATCGTGATCGCGTTGACACGCACCGACGAAGACTCAGGTGAGCCCCAGCGAGGTAAGGCGATGCTGTTACCGTTCACTCGCACAGTGCAGTTACCCGTCGCCCAGTCGATTCGCGGGTTGTGTCGTCGCAACCAATCACGCCCGAGTAAAACATCGGTTCCGTCGAGGGTCGTTACAAGCATTTCCTGGCTAAACGTGAAGTTACCCCCACATCGAATCCGAACCCGGTCTACGCGTTCCCGTATGGCCAGCGGCGTACCGTCTACCAGTCGTGCGTCGATCTCAGGTAAACATTTGTCCAGTGGCAGTCGCAGTTTTCGTGCTGTAGCGGTGTTGATGAGGCTGTGGCTGGCTCCCCCGTCTACGAAGATTTTAACTAAGTCCGTCCCGATTTTCCCACTAAGCAGTATGGGGCTGTCTACCGTAGTCCCCTCCTTATTCGGCCGAGTGTGGTCGATTGCGTGAGCCGGCACAATCACTCGGTGAGGGTCGGTTGGGTCGGGCGAGCGGCGTGACCTCTCAGTAGAGGGCCTGTCTGCCACTGACTCCCAGCGTTTCCCTGCTGCTTGGTCTGTTTTTGCTGCTCAGCTTCCCCCTTCCCCTTAGCGTTCTCCGGGCATTCGCTCTTGCGATGTCCCGACCGATTGCACGCAAAGCAACGCCCTTTGAACGGTGCAGCAGCGGCGTTTGCGGCGACGGCACGTATCGTGGCGCCCTCGTTCGTCCCACGAGGCCGATGTCCCCAATTGCTGCTTCCGTAGGACCCCGGTCTCGGTCGGCGGAATAAATCGAGTTTCTTCGCCATAGCGAGAATTTCTTGAAAGTTGGTGACGCCGCGAAGCTGGATTTCCTGAGCGATGTCTTGCTTCAGGCTGCCGATGTAGCGGTCGATGCGCTTGCTCTCGTGCATATATCCCACCTGCCCGCATAGCGCCAGAAATCCGCTCGTGTAGTCTTGGACGGAACCGAGTTGGCGCCAAGTGCGGAGCTTCTGTCGCGCCGCGATCGAAGCCGCGATTGGCTCGAAACGAGCGCGTAAACCTGCGCACCACGCGTCCCACGTGCGATACTGGGGCACCTCCACGAAATACGACGGCGCTCAGGGTCCGGTTTGTCCTTCCCGTGTCGATAAAGTCGCGTAGTCCACCGACTTCGTGACGATGACGCGCCACCAGTCCATGGCGGGTCCTCGCAGCAACGACACGGTGTAGCGAATCTTCGCCGTATCCTCCGAGACGTAGTTCGCGTCGAAGAAGACGTTCAACGTGAAGAGCCACGCCTGAACGGTAGGACCACCCCGCTGACTCGGGTCAAGGCATGGCGGACGCTGCGGCTTTAGCGGCATCGGCGACGGAAGAATTGATTCGCCGACCGGCACTGCAATCGTGACTCGAGGTTGAGTCTCGGCCGCATTCGTCGTGTCGGGGTGTGTCGTGCCGTGGTCGTCGTCTCCGTCATGGCGGACGACGCCATCACTCGCGGCGCTCGCGGGTTGCCCCACACTTCCGTGCTGTGATGTCTATAGTGCGGGCTGAATCGGAGTGCCATGTGCTTGGGATTGTGTTCGTGTGAGGTCGTTTTGCAAGGACGAGCGTTCTGCCGTCAGCGTCGCAATTTCCTCGACGCTCTCGCGGATTTGTCGCAGCAGATCGTTCAAGTGCTCCTGCGTGAGAGTCGTGACATCGATATGTTCAGCCATTTCGAAGGGCGTCGGCTCGTCTTAGTCTAGGCGCAGTCGTGGCTGCACGCGTTTACGAGAGAACGCGAGGACAGCGGCTCCTAGGTGCTAAGGTACGTGAGTCCCTTCGAGTGAGAAATCAAAAGTTGATTTCCTGAGGTGCGGAGATGCGCGGTCCGAAAGAAAGGGGCTCTGAATACCAAGTGTTACGGGTGCAATGAATCGAAGTAGCGAGAATTGCACTAAGGTGTCAAACGAGTACAAAATGTGAGCGAAGGCATGAGCGAACATGTATACGCGAAACATGCAAACGGTAACGCGGTGCGTGCGAGCTAGCTAGTGCTACGCTGGAGCGAGGCTTGGGCTAGTCCCGAAGCGTAGGCCGACACGGCCATGCCAGCAGTGCGAGGTTTGGTGAAAACAGTGTGCGCGAAGTCGGCGAAGCCCCATTAGCAGTAACGGGCGAACAACGGCTGTTGCTGTACGCGATGTAGTCGGGCTCCGTAAGGAATGCTGAGAAAATTTCTTAGAGTTCCTTTTGTTTTACCAAAAGTAAAGCTGGCAAATCCACAATAACAAAAGTTCGCTTAGTTCTACATACACGTTAGCTACGGCAATATCACACGCGTAACGGTGACAACAACTACCGTCAAGGTTTCGTCTGACGACCACACGATCCTGTGGGCTCAAGCAAGCGGCTGGCTCGGGCACATCGCGGATTGCGCAGTCCGCCGCCAGAGGCGACGGCCTCGAAAGCTCTGCGAACCATCCTTCAACTCCCTCACAGTCGCAGAACGGCTCTCTCTGACCGACAGGCCCGCCCGCCTCGTCGCGCAGCGCCAGAGTCCTGCCTTGGCAGTCAGAAAATCTTACTGTGCGAAGGGAACTGCGACAGACAGACGGAGATTTGGTGGGGTTCATTTCTAACGCGACTAGCGACTCGGTTTAGCTGTCGGCCCTTCCTTGGTGTCCCGACTCCCGAGTCGCACATCGAAACGTGTGGGGCAATCAGGAGATGTGTTGGACTGGAAGGGTGTGTGTTTGTGTAGGCAAGGCGCGTTATGCTGCAGCAAATTCTGTCCCATCTCCCTCCGCCACCTCCCCTAGTTTCCCCCTTCTACACCCCCCTGAACCTTCTGAACACTCTGCACCATTTTGAATAGTTTTTAACCCTCTCACATACGTTAAACGGCCACGCGCAAGCCAAATTAGACTGCGCAAGTTGCACAGGTTGCGCGGACCGCTAGGAGTAGCAACTGAGCGGACCGAGATTTCGCGCGAGCTAATTCCGTGTCTCACTACATCTAAAATTCTTCCCTAGTTCCCGTGTCTCCCTACTGAACAAAGCACAGAAATGTCATACCTGCTGCAACGAGAGACCAGACAACTATCCGATAATTCGACAGAACTCAAGGTATTTTGCCTCCGCCGCGACTCTCGAACCGCAATCCACACGCTTCGGACTGCGTCAATTGCTGGGAAGCTAATCCAACACCCGTCGCTCGCAAGCACTTGTCTGTACGGCATGCCGCTGATCTGGGGAGTAATAATCGATTTTGAGACGTTTCATTACTCACAACGGCGCTGCACGTTCTGATAGTTTGACCGTGAAAGTATCAGAAGAGAAAGGCACAACGCTTTGAGGTGCCTCATAGCTTCAAACTTCGTCGGATAACCATCGTACCATTCTTCCATCATTCACAGAGAGACAGCACAAAGGCAGTAGTAGCATACGGTCAGAAGTTGCTGTTAGCTCTATAACGATAGCTTGAACAAGGAACAACAAACGTGTAATCACCGAAACAGTTGTCACTTTATCAGAGCCAGACAACTCCTTCACCGCGACCGTGACGGGTGCCCAGCTTTCTCGGCGTAGACCGCGATAGCAATCGTAAGGCTGCATGGTTTTCAACCTAGATAAACCTCTTCTCTCCTTTTTCCCAGCAGAAGAGTTGGGCTGCGCGCAGAATCAATAGATCATTCGCGCTGTGGCCGCTTTGTCCGCCTTGTCCGTCCACCCCTCACAGACGGTTTTCAAGACGCCTCATCAGCCATAAAGTGTTGAATCCCTCGCGTCCCGCAAGCGAGAATGAAGCAGTCGGGAGGAGCCGCGTCGCTGAGCAAGAGCCACTCTCTCTCCTCGCACGATGCTTCCGAGAAGTTTCAACAACACCCGCCAAATTCCTCCCGTGTCGTACTCCATCCCTCAAGAGCGAAACAGTCGGGAGGAGCCGCGTCGCTCAGCAAAAGCCACTCTGTCTCCTCGTTCATCCTGATAGATGCCCCTTCCGTTCATAATAGTCACAGTAAATACAAGCACGATCGCGGTCCGTCGTGGTCTCTCCTCGTCCTCGCCTGCGCGCTCACTGCGATCGTGTCAAGCCTCGCGGGGTCCTACACTTCGTACGCGCTAACGAGGAATTCGTTACAGTTCACGGATATTTCCGTAACGGCTTACTCGTCCAACTCCTTCGACCCCTCTGTTGGACTGTCCACTGTCACTCCCCCTGCCGCCACAACCGCCGTCAAAACCGCCGGGGAAGCCGCCGCTGAATCCGCCGTCACCCATTCCAGCGAGACCAGAGGAAATCAACGGGCAGAAGACGACGCGGTGGCGCTGTACACGCCAAAAGCGTCCCTGTTATCGCGCTACGCGGACCTCATCGGACCGAGCAGTCGTGGTCGCGACGCAGGCGCTGGGAGCGGAAATCGCGGCGGGAATCACGAGGCTGACTGGGTACGGCGGCTGATTGAGTCAGCAAAAGTCAACGGCAGTCTTTCCGGTCAGCAGTTACGGAGCGCGGTGTCAGTCATAGCCGTGACGGGTGGGCAGAAGCAGAACGAGTCCATGGTTGTTCTTGTAACGGGGGCTGCCGGATTCATCGGGTCGCACCTCGCGCTGGCTCTGAAAAAGGAGGGTCACGGGGTGGTGGGTCTGGACAATTTTAACGACTACTATGATACTACGCTGAAGGAGGCGCGCGCGGCGCGACTCTGGTCTGCAGGGATTGAGATTATCCGTGGTGACTTGAACAACGGCACGCTTCTCGACAAGCTGTTTGCTACAGTCACATTCACCCACGTGGCGCATATGGCGGCGCAAGCGGGAGTTCGGTATGCGTTGGAGAATCCGAAATCCTACGTGGACAGCAACGTCGCAGGGTTCGTGAATCTGCTGGAGAGGTGTCGCAGGGTGCCTGTGCGACAGCCTGCGATCGTCTGGGCGTCGTCCAGCAGCGTGTACGGCGTGAATCGTGAGGTTCCGTTTTCGGAGTCGCACAGGACCGAACGACCGGCGAGCTTGTACGCTGCGACAAAGCTGGCTGGCGAAGCGATCGCACACTCGTATAATCACATCCACGGACTGTCACTAACCGCGTTGAGATTCTTCACTGTATACGGGCCGTGGGGAAGACCCGATATGGCGTATTTCTTTTTTACGAAGAATATTTTGGAAAAGAAGGCGATTGAAGTGTACATGGGAGCCAATGGGGTGAGTCGTCCTTCAAATGCTTTGCCCTTTTGGCATACTTCTAAGGCTTGTCTCTTCTTTCCCCACCCATCTCATCTCCTCTTTCCCATCCAGGTTTCCACATTCCCCCCTTCCTCCCCCGTTTCCGCCCCCACCCATCCCCTTTCTCCCCCTTCTCCCCTCACCCTCTCATCCCCTATTCTCCCCAACCCCTCACCTTCCCCGTGTATGCTGCTGAGGTGCTTCTAGAGCTTCCATCCCCCCTCATCCTTCAATGTCCATACTCTCCTCCCTCTCCTCGCCCCGCTCCTTCCCCCACCTCTCAACCCCATCTCCCCATCCCCCTCTTCATTGTCTGTTCCACCCATAGCCCTCTACCACCCATACCCTCCCCTACTCTCTTCCCATTCTCTTGCCTCTCCTCTCTCATTCTCTCCTCTTTTTCCTCAGTTTGTCTGTTTCTCCTCTTCTCTTTGCTCTCACCTTCTCTCCACCTGCAGACCCTTGTTTCTAGGGACTTCACCTACGTAGATGACGTCATCAAGGGCTGTGTCAGCGCCCTTCAAACTGCTACACCCAGCACCGGCGTCCAAGGCAAGAAGACAGGTCCGGCGCAGCTACGGGTGTTGAACCTCGGGAATACCCAGCCGGTTTCTGTGCCGCAGCTGGTTGACTATCTACAGTTACATCTGAGGGAGAAAGCGCTGAAGCGGACAGTGCAGCTGCCTCATAACGGGGATGTGCCTTTCACTCATGCAAATGTGTCACGGGCAGAGCATGAGCTAGGGTATCACCCAACGGTCAGGCTCAAGGATGGGCTACAGAAATTTGTAGAATGGTACTTGAGATTTTATGAGAGAGGTGGTAAGAAGCAGGTAGAAGGGGAGAAGTCGAAAGGAAGAGGTAGGGCAGGGTCAAAAGGGAAAGGGCAGATCGGCTTAGATAAAGCATCATTATAGGTTATCGATACAGCAGAGATGAGTACTAACCTGCCTAATTGACTTACTTTCTTTCTGCAACGTGCTTGTGCGATATCGGGCTCTACATTTTATTTGTAGGCTGCCTGTCGTTATTGCGTGTGGCCCTCTAGAGAGGATAACCAAGTCAACCAACCCATGCTTCGCTAGAGCTGATGTGGACTTTGTAGGATTCACCGTGTCACCAGAGCGGAAGCCAATTAGCCATCTCGACCTTGCCGCGCTGGTCAGGAAGAAACACTCTAGACTGTTAGCGAAGCGATGCTTGTAATGTTCGCAAGAGTTACCAGCGAGTAAACGAAATCGCAACCATATCTCTCAAGGCTGTCGTTGGGACTGCATTTTCCGCCCATCTTTTCAGAGGAACGAGCAACAGTGCGCTTCGCTGATTTCTTCTTGTTCCTACTAAAAATTTCTTGTTCACGAGTTCCTTCTTCCATTTTATCAAATATCGAGCAATTAGTGGCTTCGCCGACCTTCCTTGGGAATTCCGCGACTCCAACAACTCAGAAACTCTTTTGCGAAACACCCCCGCTATCACTGTTTCAAAAAGCGTCAGCTGCTACCACATCTAGTAGTAGTACCACATCTAACTTGCTCGCATGCTAGTAGGGCCATTTTCAGAACTGCGAGGTGTTTGGATGATTTGCGCTAGCACGAGGTAAACTTTGTAGCTGGAATTTGTTCTGTATAGTATTAGCTGCCGAACCGCTGCTGAACTGCTACTGCTATTGCCACCACTTTTCTCTATCCAAACCTAAGTAAATTAAAAACACGACAATCATGAATGCGACCTTATCCTCGTTATTGTCAGACCCCACCACAGTCACTCCCACGATTAGTAGTAGTACCAACAGTGCACCCGCTCCCGCTATTCTCTCCGCCGTTCACTGCCCCACGCCCCCCGACCTAACCCTAATCGAGCAACTCGTGGGCGGTCCGCTGTGTGGGCCGTATTGTCAGATATTCCCGAGACAGGGGTACTCGGGATGGGGTTACGTGGGGGAGGGTAATCTAGGGGAGGGTTACCCGGAAGAGAATGGGTTGGCGGGTGCGGTCGAGGGTGTGGGGAGGACTGGAGCAGGCGGCGCAGGGGGAAGGGGAAGCGGAAGGGGAGGCGGAAGGGGAATCGGCGGAAGCGGAAGGTGGGGGGGATGGGGTGCGGAAGGGGCGGGGGAAATGGAAGAGGGCGCGGGGGTTCTTATGGCGCCGATTCAGTCCCCCAAGGTTGCGCCAAGCGTGGCGGAGATAGGCGCGTGGGGAAGGCGGGCGCAGGGGGAAACGTGCGGAATGTAGGGTTTGGGGAGAACGGGGAACTGCGGAGGGGAGGGGGGGGGGAAAGGGGGGGAAGGAGGAAGGACGGAGGGAGGGTGGGAAGGGGTTGGAAAAAGGGAAGGAGAGGGGACGCGAATAAGGGTTGCGCCACGCGTGGCGGGGATAAGGACGTGTGGAAGGCGGGCGCAGGGGGAGATATGCGGAATGAAGGGTTTGTTGCGGAAAGGGGAACTGGGGAGGGGGAAGGACGGAAAGCGGGGGATGGGGAGGGGAGAGTTGGGGGGAAGGAGGGAAGGGGGATGCGGTGCGGCTATGATTGCGCCAAGCGTGGCGGAGATAGTAGGGGCATGGGGAAGGTGGGTGCAGGGCGAGATGTGCGGAATGCAGGGTTTGGGGAAAAAGGGGAACTGGGGAGGGCAGGGGAGGGGGAAGGGGGAGATAGTAGGGGCATGGGGAAGGTGGGTGCAGGGCGAGACGTGCGGAATGCAGGGTTTGGGGAGGAAAGGGGAAGTGGGGAGGGCAGGGGGAAAGCGTGTGACAAACATGCCAAGGTTGTGCCAAGCATGGAGATAGTAGGGGCATGGGGAAGGTGGGTGCAGGGCGAGATGTGCGGAATGCAGGGTTTGGGGAAAAAGGGGAACTGGGGAGGGGAAGGGGGAAAGGGAGCGTGGCAAACATGCCAAGGTTGCGCTGATGGTACTTTTGAGAGGGAAGGGGAAACATGCCAAGGTTGCGCCAGGCATTGCAAACATGCCAAGATTGCGCCAAGCATGGCAGAAATAGGGGCTCTGGAAAGGCTGGCGCCGGGGGGGATGTGCGGAATGTAGAGTCTGGGGAGGAAAGGGAGGGGGGGAGGCCGGGGGGGAGGAAGAAAGAATGGGGGAAACACGAATGTGCCAAGCGTGGCGAAAGTAGGGGCGTGTGAAAGGCGGCTGTGGGGGGGGTGGGCGTGGGGAAGGTGGGCGTGGGGAGGGGGGGCGTGAGAAAGGCGGGCGTAGGGAGGGCGGGTGTGGGCAAGGCGGGCGTGGGGAAGGCGGGTGTTGGGGAAGGCGGGTGTTGGGGAAGGCGGGTGTGGGGAAGGCGGGCGTTGGGGAAGGCGGGTGTGGGGAAGGCAGGCGTAGGAATGTAGGGTTTGGGGAGGAAGGAAAGTAAGGGAGGAAGGGGATTTGGGGGAGAGGGAGGGGGAGGGGGTGGGGAGGATGGAGGATTGAAGCAGGAGGAAGGGGTTTGGTGGCAGCAGGGAGAGGAGACAGGCGTTCTGTGGCGTGCCTTGTGCTGCTTTTGAAGCTCTAGAGGCTGTAGAGGCTTGTTTGTTCGCATGAAGTGACAAAGGAGGAGGGGGTAGGGAGGATGGAGGATTAGAGCAGGAGGAAGGGGTTTGGTGGTGGCAGAGAGAGGAGGCATGTGTGCTGCATGCCTTGTGCTGCTCTTGAGGCTCTACAGGCTCGTGAGGCTTGTTAGTTGGTTTGAAGCAGGAAGGGGTGTGGTGGCGGCAGAGAGAGGAGGCATGTGTGCTGCATGCCTTGTGCTGCCTCTGAGGCTCTAGAGGCTCGTTACGCTTGCTTGTTCGTTTGAGGCTACCAAGGAGTAGGGGGTGGTGGAGGAAGGAGGAGTGGAGCAGGAGGAAGGGGTTTGGTGGCGGCAGAGAGAGGAGGCATGTGTGCTGCATGCCTTGTACTTCTTTTGAATCTCTAGAGGCTGTAGAGGCTTGGTTGTTCGTTTGAAGGCCCTTCTTTGAGGAGGAGGGGGTGGGGGAGGATGGGGTAGTGGAGCCAGAGGAAGGGGTTGTGTGGTGGCAGGGAGAGGGGGTACGCGTGCTGCTGCTCCCTCTTGAAGGCCCTTCTTTGAGGCTGTAGTGGCTTGTTTCTAGGTCAGTGGTTCGACCCCCTCCTTACTCTTGGCGTAAATGTTTTTTTTTTTTTGTGTGTTTTTTTTTTGTGTGTGTGTGTGCCCCCCTGAGGCTAGGTTTGGCACCCTCCTGCACGCTTTCGATTGGAATGCATAGAGCTATCTCCCTTTTCCTTTGCTTCCTTTCGCTTGTGTTTTGTCGCTCCTTTCCTCCAGCGAGGAGTTTCATGTTTGAGTCGCTGATTTTTTCGTGTCTATAATGAAACACCTTATATCGAGCAAGGAGTGCGTTCTTGTCTGTTTGTATATTTTTTTTTTCCTTTTCTTTTCAAGAAAGGAAAGTATAATAAGAGCACCGAAGAGGTCAAATGGAAACTAGAATGTGTGGTAGTAGCACAAGCAAGGGAAAGTCCAGCTGCAATAGAGTGCTTCTTTCCTGTCTGCTGCTATCTCTTGGATGGTACGCAGTGGAAGCAAGCACAGACGGAATGTTGTGGGAGACGGGATGTTCTGTACATGCTGAGAAAGAGAGTTCGATGGTAGTTCTCTGCGCAAGGGGGTTCTCTGGTAGGTCTCTGGTGGGAGTTCTCCCATGCCTCAGTCGCCTGCTTACATGGGAGCTGTTGGCTCAGGAAGCTAGTCCTGGGAGTTGCAACGGTGGGGTTAAGAGTGGTACGAACAGGTGCAAGAGAGGTGAACAAAGAGTGGGTGATTATTGGGGGAAGCGAGGTGTAATGGAGGGAGAGAGATGGCAGGATGCGAGCAATGCGAGCAGTTTTAGTGTCCTGTCACTCCGTAACACGAGTCACCAATTCTATAATATGTAATGATATAAATAGACTATACTGTATATTATACATGTTTTCTATAGTACCTTGAGTGTGATGTTCTTGGCGAGCCAGTCAAGGCCCTCATACAGCCCTTCCCCTGACGTAGCACAGGTGCTCTGAATGTACCTGGTGGGGGGGGTAGGGGGGAAGGGGAAGAGAATGGGGGGTAGGTGGGGAGAGAAGGGGTAAGGCTGTATAGTAAGCCAGTCAAGCCCCTCATACAGCCCTTCCCTGATGTGGCACAGGTGCTCTGAATGTACCTGGTGATGGGGTGGGGGGAGAGGCAGGGGTAAGGTTGTGCAATAAGGGGGTGATATTCCCAGGATGTGGCACAGGTGCTCTGAATGTACCTGGTGGGGGAAAGAGACAGGGAGAAGAGGAAGGGGGGTTAGGGAGTGAGAAGGGAGAGAGGTTGTATTACGAGGCAGTGATATCCCCGGTGAGGGGATGGGTGGTCTACGGATTACACATGAGTGGGTTGTGGCGGGTGTGTGATATGGGGGGCTTTGAGGCGCCAAAAAAATGGGACTGTATCTGGGCGTGTGAGTTCAGCTCGCCAGTTGCTGCTCCTGCGACGGCTTTTGAGGCGCCTCAAAAGTCGCCAAAAAAATGGGACTAAGTCTGTGCGTGTGAGTTCAGTTCAGCTCACCAATTTCTGCTCCTGAGCGTGTGCAGCGCGAGGCTGTCGGTGATGTCAGGATGCTTTCAGCTGCACTCATGTTTTCATCAAGACTCAAAAAAGCGTGTGTTGGCTAACTCACCAGTTTCTGCTCCTGAGCGTGTGTTGGCTAACTCACCAGTTTCTGCTCCTGAGCGTGTGTTGGCTAACTCACCAGTTTCTGCTCCTGAGCGTGTGTTGGCTAACTCACCAGTTTCTGCTCCTGAGCGTGTGTTGGCTAACTCACCAGTTTCTGCTCCTGAGCGTGTGTTGGCTAACTCACCAGTTTCTGCTCCTGAGCGTGTGTTGGCTAACTCACCAGTTTCTGCTCCTGAGCGTGTGTTGGCTAACTCACCAGTTTCTGCTCCTGAGCGTGTGTTGGCTAACTCACCAGTTTCTGCTCCTGAGCGTGTGTTGGCTAACTCACCAGTTTCTGCTCCTGAGCGTGTGTTGGCTAACTCACCAGTTTCTGCTCCTGAGCGTGTGTTGGCTAACTCACCAGTTTCTGCTCCTGAGCGTGTGTTGGCTAACTCACCAGTTTCTGCTCCTGAGCGTGTGCAGCGAGAGGCTGTCGGTGATTTCAGCAGCGCTCATCGCCTTGGGAAGGTCCTGCTTGTTGCCAAACACCAGCAGTGCCGCGTCCCTCAGAGCGTCCTGTGAGTGTGTTTGGGGTCAGGGAAGAGGGGAGAGACAAGGGGAAAGGGAGTAGCACTCAACTCAACAATGTGTGTGCGCTGCGCTCATCCCCTTGGGAATGTCCTGCTTGTTGGCAAACACCAGCAGCGCCGCGTCCCTCAGGGCGTCCTGTGAGTGTGACGGGGGGTGGTTGGAAAGGGGAGGGGGAAGAGAGAAAGAAGCGACCTTCTGATTGTTGGCAAACATTAGCAGAGAGGAGTGTGTGCGCGGGGGTTCTTATGGCGCCGATTCAGTCCCCCAAGGTTGCGCCAAGCGTGGCGGAAACATTAGCAGAGAGGAGTGTGTGGAGCTGCATCAAATTCTCTCGGCATCAAATTCTCTCGGCATCAAATTCTCTCTGCATCCATACTTCCACTGACTTGCATCGACTTCCATTGACTCTCACCTGCCCCCGCCACTCGGTCCTGATCGTTGCTGTCCACCATAAAGATGAGCCCGTTGGTGTGCATGGACATGTATTGACCTGCATTGACCTGCATTGACTTGCATTGACTCACCTCACTCAGCATCGCATGGAGCTCATCCCTCGCCTCTGCCACTCCGTCCCGGTCGTTGCTGTCCACCACACAGATGGGAACTGAGGTGTGTTGACCTTCATTGACTTGCATTGACTCACTTCGCTGAGCATAGCGTGCAGTTCGTCTCTCGCCTCTGCTACTCGGTCTCTGTCGTTGCTGTCCACTCGCATTGTCTTGCATTGACTTGCATTGACTCACCTCACTCAGTATTGCATGGAGCTCATCCCTCGCCTCCGCCACTCGGTCCCTGTCGTTGCTGTCCACCACAAAGATGGGAACTGAGGTGTGTTGACCGTCTTTGACTTGCATTGACTCACCTCGCTGAGCATCGCATGGAGCTCATCCCTTGCCTCCGCCACGCGGTCCCTGTCGTTGCTGTCCACCACAAAGATGAGCCCATTGGTGTGCTGAAAATAGTGCTTCCACAGAGGACGAATCTGGGGGAGTGGGTGGGGAGGGGCTGACTTGAGTTGACTTGGGTTTAGCAGTGGACGATGAGCCCGTTGGTGTGCTGGAAATGGTGCTTCCAGAGAAGACGAATCTGGGGGAGTGGGTGGGGAGGGGCTGACTTGAGTTGACTTGGGTTTACTAGCAGTGGAAGATGAGTCCGTTGGTGTGCTGGAAATGGCGCTTCCAGAGAAGGCAGACCTGCAGGTTTGGGAGGTGCTGACTTGGGGTGACTACAGTGCGTTGAAAGAGGAGCCAGGTGTGAATTAAGGTACTGCCTTCACAGGAAATTCTGGTATGCTACGACAGGACAAGAACGAATCGTGCACAGGGAGAGGGAGAGAGAGGGTGCAAGGGAACTCACCCTGTCCTGGCCCCCCACGTCCCACACAGTGAAGCTGATGTTCTTATACTCCACTGTCTCCACGTTGAAGCCTGCAATACAGTCACAGCAGGCGAAAAGGGAGAAAAGAAACGTTGATGCATGATGATTACGGTTTCAGTTACTAACAGTAGTTACAATTTAGACACGTCATCAGAAGAGCCACCTTCTCAAGCATTCTCGTGGATCACTGACCGATGGTGGGAATGGTGGTGACGTTTTCGCCCAGCTTGAGCTTGTAGAGAATGGTCGTCTTGCCTGCTGCGTCCAACCCAACCATCAGAATGCGCATGTCGCGCTTGTTTATAAGCGCTGCGAAGGCTCTTGCGAGTAGGTTACCCATGATGCAGGCAGTATTCGACTAGAAGGCAAAAGGACCTTGCTGAAATGAGCTTGTAACAGTGTCAGAGGATAAAAAACAAGCAGAGTGAGGCAGGTACAATCAATATCCAGAAGGGTCAGTTAAAGAGCAGAGGCTGTAGCGAATATCAGCTCAAAATCTGGACGAGTTCATCGAAGTTGGATCAAGCAGATTTGGATGCTGTGAGTGTGTTGGCCACCTGAGCCTCTATCTTTCCAAAACCTATCTGAACACGGCAAACAAGCTATTCTTGCTGGTAGGAGCGGAACGAATCCCAGAGGGGATCGCCGGAAGGGGAACCCGAATGCGAAGCGCGCTGCAGCGTTGCAGCTTTTTTTGCGCCGAGTTGGCGCAGATAAGGAGGTCCGCGGTGCCACCACGTGATGAGTCACGTGGTGCGGAAAGTATGCAAGAAGGGGGAGAGGGGAGGAGGGTGCGTGGGACTTGGCAGAACATTTTCAGAATGGCTGTGGATGGGAAATGCGAAATGTGCATTTCGGATTGGTTCGATGCGCGCATTGATGTGCGACTCGATGAGAAGGCAGATGGAAGTTTCAGAGAGAGATAGTCGATTGATGCAAACGAAAAGGTTACCACGTGGGATTTGGAGCTGATACGCATCCGAATTTTGTTATTGGTTGAATGACGTGGGTTGTGAAGGTGTGCGAACAAACTTAGTTGTCGCGAGTACTGTTCGCCAACGCCTTTTGATCAGGTGTCGTACCTGTTCCACTTTCCGTTACGAAAACCGTTGGCTAGCCGTGCTTCGCGACGAATTGACTCGGTAACCAGACGGATCAAAGCGGCTGTCATGCGACGACGTGTAACCAATCGGAGTAGCTGCGTGCAAATTCGCCACAGCTCTGGCATCTTGGCAAGGAAGGATTTCTTTGCCCCGCGCAATGCGCCAATTGCGCTCCATCTCCTCTCTTCCCCCCATTCCCCACCCCTGAAACCCAAGATAGTCGCCATAAGCGGACATGGCTGGCGGAAATATAATCACGACGATAACGCACCCCATTCGTCCAGGTGCGTGGCGCGCCCGGTTGGCGGCAATGCGGATCGCGCGCATCCGCCGTCACGTGCGGCCAAATGTATGGCCCCAATCGGAGCCGACCACACGTCGTCACGTCGCCACGTGGCCACGTGGGCAACTGACAAAGACTCCGAGTTTGAAAGGCCGCGATAGCCTTGGATGATACGTCACTCCGCCAATCAACGTTAAGCAATGACGAGCATTCGCGATCCATTCGCGGCCATTCGCTGTCTATCACGCCGGTAGATGCGGAGCTCTCTCTTACTCGTTTGGACCGAATGCCTTCGATTCTAATTGGTCGGGAGTGCTGTTTCGAGGTCCCTACAGTAGCAGCTGTTTCGCGAAGTCAGCAAAGTGGAAAGTCAGCGAAGCGCACGGAAGGTTCTGCGAAGCCCGTTCCGTGACACGTGCGGAATGCTGAAAGGTGCTTGCGCTTTCCCATCTCCGCCTCGCACTGCTTTCGCATTTCCCCCCCTTTCCTCACCCCAGCCTCAAACTCCCCATTTTTCCTCCTCCCTCCCTCCATCTTCCTCCCTCTCTCCATCTTCCCTCACCCGATGTTTCCCCGCCCAATTTTGCCCGCCAACCCCCTCACCTCTTCCGCGTCAAAACGGCTCGAGCGGAACAAGTCCGCTGAAGCGGGTATCATGGCGGATGTTCTCCGCGTCCCCGCGCGCAAAGCTTTCCCCGTGGAAGCATTCAGCGCGGATGAAGATTCCGCGGGGATTCCCACAGGCGGAACTTTGAGCTCCGCCGCAACCCTGAGCTCCGCCAGTTGCCACCACGGTGTGATCCCAACGGTAGTACTACCGCCCACTGCTGCTGCTGCTACACATCCCACGATTACCACTCCGATTCCTACTCCTGATACCACAACTACTTATATCACAGCTTCTATTCTGCATATCATCTCACTCCCTCACTCGTTCTCCAGTCTAAGAACCACTCCCTCTCTGCAGAACAGCGATTCTGGTTTCCCAAAAGACTCGTTACAAGCTTTCCATCTTAGAAATATAATAATCTCAATCAAACCAAGTCTCACTTTTATCCCAGCCCGGCATGGGGTTGACGTTCACGAAGCTGTTTGCGCGGTGGGTGGGCAAGAGGGACATGCGCATTCTCATGGTGGGGCTGGACGCGGCGGGCAAAACAACGATTCTATACAAGCTCAAGCTGGGAGAGCTTGTTACAACCATCCCCACTATTGGTGAGTGTGTAAGGGTGTGGCGGGTCTGATTAGCATTTGTGATTAGTATGCAGTTGATTCCCTACTTTCTTTCCTCTTTCTTCCCCCGCTGTGACTGTATCACAGCAAGCCTCAACGCAATCACTGTACACTTGATGACAAATTTCATTTTCTCCCTCTCGTTTCACATGTTGTGACTGTATCGCAGGCTTCAATGTGGAGACAGTGGAGTATAAGAACATCAGCTTCACTGTGTGGGACGTGGGGGGCCAGGATAAGGTAACCGGTTTGACTCTGTTGGATTCTGTTGGTACTCTGTTGACTTGTGTTGACTTGTGTTGACTTGACTCCTTGTTGACTTGTGCTGACTCGACTTCTTAATTTTTGCGCTGACTCAATTCCCTGTTTGATTGTGTTGACTAATTTCGTAGAGTTCTGTTGAATTGCGTTGACTTGTGATGACTTGCTTTCACGTTGACTTGTGTTGACTTGCTTCCACGTTGACTTGTGATGACTTGACTCTGTTAACTTTGACAGAGTTTATAAACATCAGCTTCACAATTCCCCCCTTCTGGTTCCCTTTCTCTTTCCCTTCTGTTTCCTTCAGATCCGTCCCCTGTGGAGGCATTATTTCAACAACACTCAAGGGCTGATCTACGTGGTGGACAGCAACGGCTGCTCCCTGTGCCCTGAAGGTCGATGCAAGTCAACTTTAGTCAGCGCTAGTCTTTCTTTCCCTCCCGTTTCTCCCAGATTCGCCCTCTGTGGAGGCATTATTTCAACAACACTCAAGGGTTAATCTACGTGGTGGACAGCAACGACAGGGAGAGAGTGATGGAGGCGAGGGACGAGCTGCACCGCATGCTCAATGAGGTGAGTCAACGCCAGTCAACGCCGGTCAACGCTGGTCATCCCCTTCCCTCTTCTTCTCAGATCCGGTATCTGTGGAGGCATTACTTTCAAGGCACGCAGGGACTCATATACGTGGTGGACAGCAACGACAGGGAGAGAGTGATGGAGGCAAGAGACGAGCTGCACCGCATGCTCAATGAGGTGAGTGAGTCAACCCCAGTCAACGCCGGTCAACGCCAGTCCTTCACCCCTTCCCACTTCAGAGGTTCTGTGGCGGCGCTTCTACCATTACACCCAGAGGCTCATCTACGTGGTGGACAGCAACGACAGGGAGGCAGGTCAGGTCAAAATTGGTCAGCTCCAGTCAACTCTGGTCAACACCAGTCAACGACACCCAGGGGCTCATCTATGTGGTGGACAGCAACGACAGGGAGAGAGTGATGGAGGTGAGAGACGAGCTGCACCTCATGCTCAATGAGGTGAGTGAGTCAACGCAGGTCAACGCCAGTCAACGCGAGTCAACGAGGTCAATGGAGTCAACGGGCTTCAGTGCTCTTCGTGGTGGACAGCATCGACAGGGAGAGAGTGATGGAGGCGCGAGATGAGCTGCACCGCATGCTCAATGAGGTGAGTCAACGCCAGTCAACGCCAGTCAACACAGGTCAACGCTGGTAAACGCCACGCTGGGCTCATGTTTGTGATGACAGGGAGAGAGTGATGGAGGCGAGAGACGAGCTGCACCTCATGCTCAATGAGGTGAGAGCAGTGATGGTCAACGCAGGTCAACGCTGGTCGATGCTGGTCAACGAGCGGGACCTTCCCAACGCGATAATTCCCCTCTTTCCGTGTTCTCTTCTCTTTCATCCCCTTCCCATCTGCAAAACGAGTTGCGCGAAAACACTCTGCTGGTGTTTGCCAACAAGCAGGACCTTCCCAATGCGATTATTGCCCTCTTCCTGTGTACTCTTCTCTTTCATTTTCCCCCTCCCCTTCAACAGGACGAGCTGCGTGACGCCTCTCTCCTGGTGTTTGCCAACAAGCAGGACCTTCCCAACGCGATGACCCCCTTTTCCCTGTACTCCTCCTGTTTACCTTTCGTACTCTTTTCTTTCTTTCCCCATCTACAGGACGAGCTGCGTGACGCCTCTCTCCTGGTGTTTGCCAACAAGCAGGACCTTCCCAACGCGATGACCCCCTTTTCCCTGTACTCCTCCTGTTTACCTTTTGTACTCTTTTCTTTCTTTCCCCATCTACAGGACGAGCTACGTGACGCCTCTCTCCTGGTGTTTCCAAACAAGCAGGACCTTCCCAACCAATGTACAGGACGAGTTGCGTGATGCTACTCTCCTGGTGTTTGCCAACAAGCAGGACCTGCCCAACGCGAGTATTGCCCTCTTCCCGTGTTCTCTTCTCCTTCATCCCCTTCCCATCTGCAGGACGAGTTGCGTGACGCGACTCTCCTCGTCTTTGCCAACAAGCAAGACCTTCCCAACGCGATGAACGCTGCTGAGATCACCGACAAGCTCGGGCTTCACTCGCTGCGCCACCGCACCTGGTATGCGTGTGCATCTGGTCCTTCAGCAAGATTTGCTGTTGCGTCACGTCGTAGCTGGATTGCGCAAGGTATGCGTGTGCATCTGGTCCTTCAGATCTTGCCCTCCTATTATTGCCCAGCCTTTTCTCCTGCACTCGCTGTGCCACCGCACCTGGTGTGTGTGGGTACGTGTGTGGGTATGTGTGTGTGTGGGGGGAGGGGGGACGGCGGTATGTGTGGGTATGTGTGTGTGTGTGTGTGTGTGTATGTGGCCCTTCCTCTTACCCTCATTGCTGGTACGTGTTTTGTCATTCGTGTCTTATGTAGCAACCAACCCTCACCTCCGTTCCCCTCCCCTCACACCAGGTACATTCAGAGCACCTGCGCCACGTCGGCGGAAGGCCTCTACGAGGCGCTTGACTGGCTCTCTAACAAAATCCACACTCACCTTCGCTGCCCTTTTTCCTCCTCCCTGCCCCTTCCTCTTCCCCCCTCACCCACCGGGTACATTCAGAGCACCTGCGCCACGTTGGGGGAACGGCTATACGCCTTACTACACACCCTTGCATCTCATCTGTCTTTCTACAACCCCCTCTTTCCCCCCCTTACCCCTTTTCAGGTACATTCAGAGCACCTGTGCCACGTCAGGGGAGGGCCTCTATGAGGGTCTGGACTGGCTCTCTAACAACATATCCGCTAAAGTGCGCAAGATTCCCCTCCCCTTCTGGTGCACACCTTGACTCCCGTTGACCTTGTTGACTTTCAAGACCTTTATTGTAACTTAGTTAAATTCAGCACCTTGTCGTTTCTCGCTCAGTACCAAACGACTCCCGTTGACTTTCAAGACATGGTTGATTCACCCGTTTGCCTGCTTCCTGCCCTCCTGTTTTATGCCAGGATTAAAGGGTGCTTCCGGGTGGTTTGACTTCAAATCAAACAATTGCCAGGATCACACAGTTGTTGGGGTTGCTGGGGTTGCGGACCGTGATTGTTCCCTGCAGGGATGGCTGGTTACATTACGCGTTACAACACTTACAATTGGTATATGTTGATCCTGCCAATCTTTTATTAACTTATAGTTCTGCTAGCTTTCTGTGTGGGGTGCGGTGCGGTGCGGTGCATGCAATTACTGTTATTTAATCAAATCATTTAGCTTGACATTGAATTGCACTCTTGCATTAATTTCTTAGGCACTCTCCGTACTGTACTTTTCCTAGCTACAGATACCGTACTGAACACACGTGTTTTCTATACGCAGAGTGAACTAATACTTGCTCCAATGCCGAAGCCCACACACACATACGAACGACATATCTTTCCAGCATTCACAATGTTTAGGTGGGAGGGCAAGCTGGGTGGTTCTTTCTATGAAGTCACAATCGCAATCATTTCACAAGAAGAGGTCATCAGTCAGAATTCACAAAATATACTTTCTCGACTAAAAAGTCCTCATACATTATTTGGATGAAATGGTGTACCAAAGGGAAATGCCCCAAACTAGGCATTATTCAGGAGGAGCCTCAAGAATGCCCCCCTTTATTTGAGCCTTCACAACACATTGAAGCTTCATGTCACGTCCAGAAGGCTCGAAAGAGAGGCAATCAGTGCACGCCAAGCGTGTAGAGAATGAAGGCATAGCGGAGCGCCACGTCAGCAAGGCGATCGAACCTGCAGCAAGGACAGAAAAAAGCATGGACAAGTTTTGGTAGATTTTACTATTGAGCATTTTCAAAGGTGAATACATAGCAAAAATGTAGCAGTGCAGCCATCAGTGGTTATATTTTAGGCACCTTCTAGTAATGAGCATACAGAACACGCTCATTGGACCTCCCTGACCCATTCCCTCACTCATTCACTGCCTCCATTCACTCACTCCCTCACTCCCTCCCTCACTCCCTCATCGCCCCGATTCAATCACTCACCTCCGTGTCTTGCTGAAGTGTCCCGTGTCCATCTCACACCGGAGCAACACCACTGAATCATTGCTTGTATTGGCGTCTATGCACTCACCCACTGACTCCCGCACTCACTCACTCCCTCCCTCACCTCCCTGTCTTGCTGAAGTGTCCCGCGTCCATCTCACACCGAAGCAGCACCACCGAATCACTGCTGGTGTTGGCATCTCTCAATCGTGCCACCCACTTGGCTGGCTCCCAGTAGTTCACTCTCTGGTCTGAAATGCGTAGATGAGAGGGAGGGGGAGAGCAAGAGACAGCACATGAGAAGTCAGCACCACCGAATCACTGCTTGTGTTGGCGTCTCTTAACCATGCCACCCACTTGGCCGGCTACCAGTAGTTCACTCTCTGGTCTGCGATGGAAGAGAGGGAGGGAGGGAGGTAGGAACGGGATGATGTGAGAAGAGCGCGAGAGCACCGCAGCAGCACCACCGAGTCACTGCTGGTGTTGGCGTGTCTCAGCCTCGCCACCCACTTGGCTGGCTCCCAGTAGTTCACTCTCTGGTCTGCGATGGAAGAGAGGGAGGGAGGGAGGTAGGAACGGGATGACGGGAAGTGTTGGCAGACAATAAGGTAAGGAGGAGGGCGAGGAAAGAAGTGCGAGAGGGCACATGCAGAATTTCAGGTCTGTTGGCTTTTGAGGCGTCCCACACCGAAGCAGCACCACCGAATCACTGCTTGTGTTGGCGTCTCTTAACCGTGCCACCCACTTGGCTGGCTCCCAATAGTTCACTCTCTGATCTGCAAGTGGGAGAGAATGGTGGAAGAGGGAGGGTGAAGGGAGGAGGGAGGAGGGAGAGGAGGCGAACAACGAAGGGAGAGGGTTAACCAGTGTAACTAAACAGGGAGGGCGGGCGGAGGGCCAGAGGAGGGGAGGGATGCGGGCAAGGGATGAAGTGTGAGAGAGCACCGGCAGGATTTCAGCTACTTTTGAGGCGCCTCAAAAGGAGTTCAGCTACTGTTGGCGTTTGAGGCATCTCACACCGAAGCAGCAGAACCGCCGAGTCACTGCTCGTACTGGCATCTCGCAGCCTCGCGAACCCACTTGGCTGGCGTCTCCTGAGACTGAATGCGTTCAGAAACGTTTAGTGCTCTTCTCACACCGCAACGAATGACCCCAACGTATGAGAAGAGTGCAAAACTTGACCCCAAGTTCTATTTCTTCTTCATAGAGGGTTTGGCTTACCATGGAGCGAAGCAGTGGCCAGTATGTTGGGATAAGCCTGGGGCTTCACCTGAAAGCAGGAGAAGAAGCAGGAGCAGGAGAAGGTGGAGGAGGAGGGGGAGGGGAGCAGCAGAGACAGCAAAGGGTCAGCAGATTGGGGAAGGGAGACAGAGCATCTTAGGGAAAAAGGGCATCTTCGAGACAAAGGAAAGTATTGGACTGGAAAAGAACAGAGAAACGAAAGGGGAGTGCATAGCATGTATAAAAAAGAGACCACCTGGGAAAGTGGAATGCAGGGGGGATTTTAATGCCGAAAGAAATTCATACATGAAAGGGAGGGAGGGAGGGAGGGATGGAGTGGGGTGCGGTGGGAGGGGGTCACTCACATTGTCGACAGGAGAATAGGACTTGATGCAGTGATAGTACTGCTCCTCATGTGGGTTGCCCCACTCCTGCTTGCCACACACACACAACCTCATACGACCGCACAAGACCGGACATGACCACACACAGCCACGCAGAGCCGCACACAAGACAAGCACGCAAGTCACATTAAGTAAACGCACAAAACAACGATCTCCAACAGCTGACCCACCTCCCAGGGGCTGGTTTTTGAGAATTCTCAATATACAGCAAGACACTGGCCCGCCCACCCATCCACCCACCCGCTCGCCCGCCCACCTGCCCACTAGCCTATCCACCTTCCACAGCCCACCCATCTCCCACAGGCGACCGACCTCCCACTCAGTGCTGCTAAACCCACCTCCCACTCAGTGCTGCTAAACCCACCTCCCACTCAGTGCTGCTAAACCCACCTCCCACTCAGTGCTGCTAAACCCACCTCCCACTCAGTGCTGCTAAACCCACCTCCCACTCAGTGCTGCTAAACCCACCTCCCACTCAGTGCTGCTAAACCCACCTCCCACTCTGTGATGGTGAGGTGTAGAGAGGCGTCTAGCATGGTGGAGAGCACATCAACGAACGGCACGCCAGCCACGGCTGATCGAAACAGATCCGGCCGTTCGTTCACGGCTGCCCCCACAGGTATGCCCCCTGCTGACCGGCCTTCCAGGGCCAATCGGTCTGGAGTGGTGAGACTGGGTAGAGAGAGTTATGGAGAGGGAGAGGGCAGGGATGGGCATATGGACGGTGAGATGAGAGAGAGGAGAACAAAGGAAGATCCGGGCCGTTCGTTTTCTGCTGCTCCCACGAGAATGATCCCTGCTGACCTGCCTTCCAGGGCCAATCGGTCTAGAGCTAAGTTGGAAAATACGCGTATCGCGTTTTATACGAAAGCGTCTATTCGCAAGCGTATATACGCGATACGCTGCACGGTAGGGGTTCCGGTACGCACAGAATTTGCAGGCCCGGACAGGTTAGAGTTTTTCAGGGCAAGAAAAATGTCGAGGTGGGGATGGGCGAGGCGCAAAGCAGCAACAACCCCCATTCCGCACCCCCCTTTCTACCTGACGTCGTTAAGACTCAGGTCGACATAATTTAGAATTAGGTCGAGCTTAAGAACGAAGTCGACATTATAGGTCAACACTAAGAACTTAGTCAACATTAAGAACTGAGTCGACATTAAGGACTACTAAGTCGACAACTAAGAGCATCAAGCTCGTCGTCGTTCCCAACCAGGGAAGCGAACTCCTCGGAACAAGTTGGATTGGAAAGGATTGGGAATGGACAGGGTTGAGAGGGTTGCTCAGCGGTAAACATGAGGGGTTGTGCATCGACTTCGAAATTCGAAATTCGAAGTCGAGGTTGACATCTCGAATCCGCCAAGTCCAGCTTTGAGTTTGCTACACCGCGGGCCCAAACCCAATTTAACCTATTCTTTTCGGTCAGCCCGTACGCATTTCGGCGTATTTACACATCAAACGCAATGTAGGTATTTTGGTGCGTTTATGCTCAATACACCCTCTTTCGCGACCTTATAATACCAAGGGTAAGCACTGGCAACAGTGCTTTTATTTTCTGGTCTGGTTCTTGCAACTGGACCCTAGAAAGGTGGCAGGCAAATGACCACCAAGCGACAAATGCACACGAAGCACACAACGGTTTCTAAAGAAAACATCGCTTTCAGGTACACACGATGCCCGTTTGACTAACCCAAGGTTGCCCTGCTAAGAGGGCTCTTAAGTGATTCTTGCATTTCGCTAAGTTTTCGTCAATTCGCACTTAGCAAAAAGGGCTTTTAAAAAGATTTTGTAACTCACTTTTGACCGTTTGACATGGGTCTCTTCTGTCAAACTTCGGTTTTTGTGGTTCGTATTGCTCGAGGTGCTTATAAACAGGGTGCAACTGCCTGGTACCCTAATACACGGGTGCAGAGTTTCCATCGTGGGCAGAGCAAATTCGCGTGCAGGGGTTGGGCATCTTGTGTACGTTTGAGTGCGGCACATTGTGCTTGTGTGCATTGTGCCACACCACCGTTTCAGACGCACCACCGTCACTTCCTCCCTCCCTTCCCTCCCTCACTCGCTCGCCCTTATCATCGCACCAATTTCCTTCAAGCGTCTTCTTTGACAATGTGATGAGTGAAATTTTGAGACGTCTCAAAAAAAAAAAAAAAAAAAAAAAAAATCTCATATCATGTGGCTTATCATCACACCCTCCCTTCTCTCCCTCACTCACCCTTCCTTGATCAGGTGCACGGCACTAGCAATCACCATCAGACACTGTGGCTGGCAAGCGCACACCCTTTGAGGCACGTAGACGATCCTTCAAGGCACTCACTCACTCACCGCTCACTCGCTCACTCCCTCCCTCCCTCACTCAATCACTCACTCCCTCCCTCACTCCCTCCCTCACTCACCCTTCCTTGATCAGGTGCTCGGCACACGCAATCACATCCCACACCGTGTTGCGCTTTCTCAGAAGCTTCCCGTCCAAGTACCACTGATAGTCCCAGTCGCCTCCTCCCCTCACATGCGCTACGGCCACAACCACCCCTCGATCGAGCAGGGAGAGACGGTCAGGGGAGAAAGAGAGGCGCGAGGGCACCTACAGAAGGAAGAGAGGTGCGCGGGTGGAGGGAAAGAAGAGAGAAAGAGGTCAGTCGATTCCCAGTCGCCTCCTCCCCTCACGTGCTCTATCACCACCACCACCCCTCGGTCTAACAGTGAGAGTAGGTCGGGGGAGAAAGAGAGGCACGAGGGCACCTACAGCAGGGAGGGTGGGGGGACAGTAGAGAGAAAGAGGTAAGTAGATTCCAAGTCGCTTCCTCCCCTCACATGCTCTATCGCCACTGCCACCCCTCGGCCCGACAGGGAGAGCGGTCAGAGGAGAAAGAGAGATGCGTGGGCACCTGGGGAGAGACAGGGAGGAGGAGAGAAAGGAGCGAGAGAAGGCTGGCCTACGTGGGTGTGGTTGTGTGTGTGCGTGTGCGTGTGTGTGCGGGTGTGGGTGTGTGTGTGTGCGGGTGCAGGTGTGGGCGTGTGTGTGTGTGTGTGTGTGTGTGTATGTGCGTGCGTGTCGTGTGCGTGCGTGTGTGCGTGTGCGGGTGTGCGTGTGTGTGTGTGGGTGGGTGTAGGTGTGTGTGTGTGGGTGTGTGTGTGTGTGTGCGCGCGTGTGCTTGCCTGTGTGCGTGTGCCTGCCTGCCTGTGTGTGTGTGTGTGTGTGCGCGCGCGCGTGCGCGTGTGCGTGAGTGTGCGTGCCGTGTGCGTGTGTGCGCGTGTGTGTGTGTGTGTGTGTGTGTGTGTGTGTGTGTGTGTGTGCGCGTGTGTGTGTATGTGTGCGCACGCGAGCGCGCGCGTGTGTGTGCAAGAGCAGCATGCGCCAAGGCGGGCCGGTGCTTGCAGCACGGGAAGCATGAGGGTCACTGCGAGTGTGGTCTGCTGTTGCTTGGTACACACTCTCACTCACCTCCTATGCAATGCACCACACGCATACAGCAGCAGGGGCCAAGCCAGGCCGGTGCTTGCAGCACTGGCAGCAGCAAAATCCGGAGGGTCACATTTTGAGTCGACTCAAAAGCAGAATCTGGAGGGTCACTGGAAGGGCTGTTGCGATGGGCGGGCGAGATAGGCACTTGAGTGCCGTCTGCTGCAGCTGCTGCTGCCGCTGTGCAGGGACTCTCTCTCACCGCACGCATTACTAGTGAAATTCACTCACCTTGTATGCACCGTACGCATAGAGCAGCATGGGCCAAGGGGGGTCGCTGGCAGCACTGGCAGCACTGGCAGCACTGGCAGCGTTGGCAGCGTTGGAAGGGCTGTTGCGATGGGCGGGCGAGATGGGCACTTGAGTGACGTCTGCTGGTGCTGCTGCTTCTTGAGTCGACTCAAGAATCGTCTCATCACAGCGAGATGGGCACTTGAGTGCCGTCTGCTGGTGCTGCTGCTTCTTGAGTCGACTCAAGAATCGTCTCATCACAGCGAGATGAGCACTTGAGTTCCGTCTGCTGCAGCTGCTGCTACTACTACTGTGCGGTGACTCTCTCACTCACCTCATACGCGCCATAGGCATAGAGCAGCATGGGCCAAGGGGGTTCGTTGGTGGCAGCACTGCAAGTGCTGTTGCGATGGACGAGCGAAATGGGCACTTGAGTGCCGTCTGCTGCCGTGGCGAAGAGACGGCGGGAGGAGTAGAGTGAGGGGTCGAAGGATTCGCCGACCTGTAGGGGATAGATGGGGAGAGGTTCAAATCAAAGGGATGGGGAGAGGTTCAAAGAGATGGGGGGAGAGAGTGAGAAAGTGGAGAGAAAACAAGGGAGATGGGGAGAAGATACATATAGAGGCGTGCTGCCACATGAAAAGTATGTGCAAGTACAGTAGTAGCACCCACACACACCCACCCACCACACCCACCAGACCCACCAAACCCGCCACAACCCAAACTCACTCAAGCAGGTACTAATACCACTCTCCCTGTCCACATTCCTTGGAGCCGCTTTTGAGGTGACTTTTGAGTCAAGGTGACTTTCGAGTCGACTCAAAAGTCACCTCTACTAATACCACTCACCCAGTCCACCTTCCTTGGAGCCGCTTTTGAGAATTCTCAAAGGCTTTTGAGAGCCACCCAAACACACCCACCACACCCCAAACTCACTCAACCAGATTCTAATACTACTCACCCAGTCAACCTTCCTAGCCTCTTGTCTATCTGTGTCCATGTCTCACTCGAACACAGTGGTGGGGTTGACCAGGGAGGAGAAGGAGAAGCGGAGGAGATTCGACTCAAACCGGCACACCCACCACGCCATCCATACCGCACCACACCACACCACACCCACCATACATTCATCGTGCACGCAACCACCACACCCCAAACGCACTCACCCTGTCAACCTTCCTAGCTGCTTGTCCGTCTGTGTCCATGTCTCACTCGAACATGGTGGTGGGAGTGACGAGGGAGGAGAAGAGTATGATGTATTCATTCATACAACCCCCCCAACCACACCCTACCTAAACACACTCACCCAGTCAACCTTCCTAGCCGCCTGTTTGTCTGTGTCCATGTCTCGCTCAAACACGGTGGTGGGGGTGACGAGGGAGGAGAAGGAGTAGCGGAGGAGGGGCGATTCGAAGCGGCTTCTGAGGGCTCGGATCTCGTATGCTGCTTCGGTGAATTCAACCCTGCATGGACACAGGGCACAAGGCCCAGAACGCAGGGCAAGGACACAGGGCACAAGGCACAGAACGCAGGGCAAGGACACAGGGCACAAGGCACAGGGCATAGGGCACAGTGGCAAGAGTGAAGGAAAGAATCGACTCAAACCGGCTCCAGAGGGCCCGAATCTCATATGCTGCCTCATCTTTTGAGGCGCCTCAAAAGTCCGGAGGGCCCAAATCTCATATGCGTATGCTGCTTTCTCGAATTCCACCCTGTTGAAGGTGCAAAGAGGGAAAAGGTGGTGGAGGAGGAAGGAGAAGGGGAATTAGGTTGCGCTGGCATCGACTCAAACCGGCTTCTGAGGGCTCGGATCTCGTATGCTGCTTTCTCGAATTCCACCCTGTTGAAGGTGCAAAGAGGGAAAAGGTGGTGGAGGAGGAAGGAGAAGGGGCAGGGCGCAATTTCCTTCACCAATCAGCCAGATGCAGTCACATCCCATGGAAGGTGCACGAGGGAAGGGAAATAAATAAATGGGTGCAACTTGCAACACAAGCATCTATCTCAGTACGTACGAGGGTGGAAGGAAAGGAGCAGCATATTCATGCTTCGGCTGGAAGCTCACAGTTTGGCAGCTTCAGGTGCAGGAGAGCCGTCGGATCGCAAGGGGATGGATCTGATCCGTTGTAGCCCCTTCACCCTCTCAAACACGACCACGTGGCGCTTGAAGGCCGTCACTGATTGGAGCTTCACACTGGGGGGTGAAAAATACAATAAAAGGCACAAGGAGTCAGGAGGGTTCTGGGTTTATGGGTTGAAGGTTCAAAGTTGTGAGTGAGTTTGGGGTGACGGAACAAACGACCACGTGGCGCTTGAAGGCTGTCACTGATTGGAGCTTCACACTGGGGGGTGAAAAAATACAATAAAAGGGTACAAGGACAAAGAAAGACCGAGTTCAGGGCTTAGGGTCAGGGGTTTACATCTCAAAACCCACATAAAGGCCGCCACTAATTGGAGCTTCATAGTACGGGGTCTAGGGTTTAGGGTTTAAGGTTTAAACTCCCACCTGGGGTCATGCGGCAGCACCACCAATGGCTGAAAATATAAGGGCGGCCCTCCGCATCAACATCTTCTGAATCAGGCACGGTAAGGAGCTCGGAGTTCCAGAGTTGAACGGAGCGGCAGCAGTGTGAGGAGCTCTGAGCTCCAATGGTGAGGTGACACACGATTTGTCTCACTCACTTCACCTGGGGTCATGCGGCAGGCAGCACCACCAACAGCTGAAATCCCTCCGGATCAGCATCGTCTGAAGCAGGCACAGCAAGGAGCTCAGAGTTCCGCAGTTGGTCGGAGCGGCGGAGGAGGAAGAAGTGCAACCCGCTGTGGTCTGTCTGTCTGTCTGTCTGGCTCACCGGGGGTCATGCGGGAGAACCAACGAGGGTTCTACAGCCTCAGATGCAGCAGTAGCGGCATCAGCAGCAGCAGTGGCAGCGGCATCAGCAGCAGCAGTGGCAGCGGCATCAGCAACAGGCAGCGAGAGGAGCTCAGAGTTCCAGAGGAGCGCGGAGCGGCGGAGGAGGAAGAAGTGCGACCTGCTGTGATCGGTCTGTCTGGCTCACCTGGGGTCATGTGGGAGAACCAACGAGGGCTCTACAGCCTCAGCTGCAGGAGCAGCGTCAGCAACAGGCAGCGACGCGAGGAGCTGCGAGTTCCAGAGCTGTCAGCGTCTCACCCGGGGTCATGCGGCAGAACCAATGAAGGTTCTACAGCCTCAGCTGCAGGAGCAGCAGCAGCAGTGGCATCAGCAACAGGCAGCGCAAGGAGCTCGGAGTTCCGCATCTGGTCGGAGCGGCGGAGGGGGAAGAAGCGCGAGCCGCTGTGGTCTGTCTGACTCACCTGGGATCATGCGGGAGCACCACTGAGGGCTCTACAGCCTCAGCTGCAGGAGCAGCAGCAGCAGTGGCATCAGCAACAGGCAGCGCGAGGAGCTCGGAGTTTCGCATCTGGTCGGAGCGGCGGAGGAGGAAGAAGTGCGAGCCGCTGTGGTCCCCATACACCTCCACGTTCTGAAGGAGGGGAGGGGGAGGAGGGAGAGAGAGAGGGTGGGTGATTCTTGAGTTGACCCAGAAGGCACCAAGGAGGAAGAAGTGCGAGCCGCTGTGGTCTCCATACACCTCCACGTTCTGAGGAAGGGGGTGGGGGAGGGGTGGGGGAGGGGTGGGGGGAACACGACTTTCGATGGCGAGGAGCTTTGATTTCCAGAGGTGGGGGGAGCGGGCGGAGGAGAAAGAATCGCGACCCGCTGTGGTCTCCATACACTTCCACGTTCTTTAAGGGGTGAGAGAGAGCAGGGGAGAGGCGGAGGGGACAGGGGTGAAGAGGCGAGGAAAAGAGGGCACAAAGGCTCCTGAAGGAGAGGCGGAGGAGGAAGAAGCGCGAGCTGCTGTGATCCCCATACACCTCCACGTTCTGAGGAAGGCGAGGGGGGGAAGGGAGAAATGGGGAGAGAGGATGGGCGGATGCTGCAAAGGGGAGAAGGGAGCTCCGAGCCCTGTAGTTGGGGGGAGCGGCGGAGGAGGAAGAAGCGCGAGCCGCTGTGATCCCCATACACCTCCACGTTCTGAGGAAGGCGAGGGGGGAGGGGTGGGGGGAGAGGAGAGAGAGGAAGAGGGGTTGAAGGCTGAGAGGAGAGGGAAAGACGTCTTGGAAGACAAAAAGGCAGAGGCGAGATGACTTTTGAGTCAACTCGGAAGATAAAAAAGAGGAGGCAGAGCGGCGGAGGCGGAGCAGCAGAGGCAGAGAGGATCACACTTGTTCTTTTAAGTCGACTCAAAAGCAGACTCATTACACGATGAGTGAGGACCCGTGGGACCTCACATTCGACGATCACACTTCTTCTTTTGAGTCGTGGGACCCGTGGGACCTCACATTCGCCTCCGCCTCTGCCGCTGCCGCTCCAAATGAGTTCCACCAAAGGTAGGCGGAGCGGCGGAGGAGGAAGCAGTGCGAGCCTCTGTGGTCTCCACTCCATATACCCCCACTTTCTGAACGCAACAGAACATACTATGCAGCAGCAGCCTATGCAGGTGGCTGGTCTGTTCTAGTACTCACATGCACTTTCAGCACGAGCTGCCTTGTAGGGTCAAACGGCCTTCGAACGTCGATTGCCAGCAGAAACGAAGTACTCACATGCACCAAAATGCACCCACATGCACCCACATGCACCCACATGCACCCACATGCACCCACGTGCACCCACATGCACCCACATGCACTGCGCTAGTACTCACATGCACCCACATGCACCCACATGCACCCACGTGCACCCACATGCACCCACATGCACTGCGCTAGTCCTCACATGCACCCACATGCACTGCGCTAGTCCTCACATGCACCCACATGCACCCACATGCACCCACGTGCACCCACATGCACCCACATGCACCCACGTGCACCCACGTGCACCCACATGCACTGCGCTAGTACTCACATGCACCCACATGCACCCACATGCACCCACATGCACCCACATGCACTGCGCTAGTCCTCACATGCACCCAGCACCCACGTGCACCCACATGCACCCACATGCACCCACGTGCACCCACGTGCACCCACATGCACTGCGCTAGTACTCACATGCACCCACATGCACCCACATGCACTGCGCTGCGCTAGTACTTACATGCACCCACATGCACTGCGCTGCGTTAGTACTTATATGCACCCACGTGCACTGCACTGCGCTAGTACTCACATGCACCCACGTGCACTGCACTAGTACTTACATGCGCTCTTGGCACGAGCTGCCTCGGAGGGTCGAACGGTCTTTGAACATCGATTGCCAGCAGAAAGGACGTCACAGCCAACGCACACCCACACGCGCACAACAACAACACATGCATGCACACAGCAACCCACGCAGGTACAACACTCTAGATGGTACTCACATGCACCCTCGGCATGAGTTGTCTGGGAGGATCAAAAGGCCGTTGAACGTCAATCGCCAGCAGAAAGGACGTCACAGCCGACCCACACGTGCACTGCACTAATACTTACGTGCACTCTTGGCACGAGCTGCCTTGGAGGGTCGAACGGTCTTTGAACATCGATTGCCAGCAAAAAGGACGTCACAGCCGATCCACATGTTATCATAATAAATCGGTCCGAAGACGTGCGGTGAACGCCCACGTCAAACGCCTCGTCCTTTTCGAAAAAGACGCGCGCGTCCTGAGAGACCGGCGTGCCGATGACGTGGCGCATGACGGAGCACGGGCGGTCTTTTTCGTCCTGAGCGACGTAGAAGAGCGTCTGGTTGTCTTCCGCCCAGCACACCTCGCCGCTTGTACCAAACTCTGACGTGATAACATCCGTATCTGCCGCTGCTGCTGCTTCTGCTGCTGCTGCGGCTGCTGCTCCTGCTTCCGCTGCTGTTACTGGTGTGCCTGCTAAACCATCTGCTTCTGTTACTGCTGGTGCGGGTATTGACCGTCCTTCAGAAGATCTCCCCGCTGCTGCTGCTGCTGCTGCTGCTGCTGCTGCTGCTGCTGCTCCTTCTGACACTCTTTCTGCTCCTTCTGACGCTCTTCCTGCAGCTGCTGCTGACTCAGCTGGTGAGGAATCTGGTGGCACTGACAATAGTCCTGCTGAAGCCGCAGCAGCAGCAGCAGCAGCAGCAGCAGCAGAGCTAGAGCAAATAGGCCGCACATGGATAGAATACCTCTCATCCCCCCTCGTGTCAATACTATACGCCACAAACCCATGGTTTGGGCTCACAATAACACTATCAATGTGGAAGAAGCTTCGCCCCTCCGCCTCCCTGTTCTCCTCTAAAACGATTTCCTCTAAAACCCCTTCATCCATGCTCTCGGAAAAATAATCTCTGGGCTCGCATGGTGATTGTGCTGCTGCTGCTGCTGCTGCTGCTGAGACTGCAGAGTCTACAGCTGCTCTCCTGCAGTGAATGGGATACTGTTTACCCTCCTCCTCTCGGGTGTAGTACCAGAAATTACCCTTTCTTAAAGGAACACTCCTGTCCTCCTGCTTCACTCGCGCTTTCATCTCCCCTTGCAGTAGAACGCGCAGTGGCACACCCTCTCGCTCTCCCCCACCCGCCATTTCTCCTTTGTCCCCCGTACACGCCTTGTCTCCTTCACTACATGGAGGCAGTATGGCGTCAGTGTACGCGTTCTCTACCGGTTGTATCTGTGGCTTCACAGCATTCGCGTTTTCAGCATCAGTGCACACATTCGCGTTCCCAACGCCAGCACCACACAAAGGCAGTAGGGCGTCAGTGTACGCGTTCTCTGCCGCCAAATGCGCCAGGACTTGCGGATTCTCGCGCCTCTCGTCCCTGAGCCAGTGGTGGGGGTCGTCCCGCACGTCTCCAAACATTGGAGGGAAGGAGAATGGCACCTTGGCGCACCTGGTGAGGAGAGGGGTTACAGGCACATTTGTGTTACACTCATCGCCTCTTGTCTCTCAGCCAGTGGTGGGGGTCGTCCCGCACGTCTCCAAACATTGGGGGGAAGGAGAAGGCGACCTTGGCGCAACTGATGGGGGGAAGAGCAGGGGGAGCGGCAGGGGAGGGCGGAGAGCAGAGGGAGAGGGGGAGGGGGGAGAAAAGAGCAGAAGCAGGGAGGGGGGTTACAGAGCCAGTGGGGTGGGGGGTCGTCCCGCACGTCCCCAAACATCGGGGGAAAGGAGAATGGCACCTTGGCGCACCTGATGGGGGGAGGGGCGGGGAAGCGGAAACGGGGAGAAGGGGAGGGGGAGGTGGGGAGAAAAGGGGAAGGGGGAGGGAAAGGTGGAGAGGGCGGGGAAGGGGGGAGGGAGAAGGGGAGGTGGCGGGAGAGGGAAGGGGGAGGGGGGTAGGAAAGGGAATCAGCAAGGGGGGTGGGAGCGGCGGAGGTAGGGGGAGCAGGAGGGAGAGAGGGAGCGAGGGGAGGGGAGGGGTTTAGAAGAGGCGAGGAAGAGGGGAGGAAGAGGGGAGGAAGAGGGGAGGAAGAGGGGAAGGTGAGAGAAGGAAGGCGACCGGGAGGGGAAAAGTGAGGTGGAGGGGAAGGGGGAGACGAAGGAAGAGGTGAATGGGAGAGGTGAGGGCAAGGGCTGAGGGGGAGAAATAAGGGGGAGAGATGATTTTTGAGTCGACTCAAAATTCGACTTACTACTACACTGGGGAGGCCTCATCACAATGCACATTCACAATGGCACCCCTGCTTTCATCATGCACATTCACAATGGCACCCCTGCTTTCATCATGCACATTCACAATGGCACCCCTGCTTTCATCATGCGCATTCATTCACGTCACAATGCACTTTAAACCCCTATCATAATCCCCCGTCCCATGCTTCTTGCTGAATCGCCTCCATGAAAAGAAGTGCTTGCTATCAGTCAGATCGGGAGCGCTTACATGGGAGCCTCTTTTGAGGCGCCTCAAAAGTCGCTTACATGGGAGCCTCTATTTCTTTCGCACGCCTCCAGAACGCGCTAGAACCCCCATCATTCGCCATAGCAGCCTCCCCTTTACCGCCCCTGCCGGTCAGCCCAGAGGCTTTTCTACACTGCCCGATCGAAACTGGTTCGAGGGCGAGGGAGTCAGATATTTCCCGCGGATCTCGGTCTGAGCTGGCTCTGGCGCTTGCTGACGCAGCAAGGGGGGGAACGTTGACGGCTGCAGAGACACGGTGTGGATCTGGTCAGGTCAGTTGGGAAAGGGAAGGGGGGAAGGAAAGAGGGCTTTTAAAACCCCTCAAAAGTCTACCACTGCCACTGCTGGCGCAGCAAGGGGGGGGATATTGACTGTAGTAGAGACACGGCGCGAATCTGGTGATGGTGATGACAGTTGGGGGAGGAGAGGGGGGAAGTGGGGGGAGGGCGGAAGTAGGAAGAGAGGGGAAGTGGGGGGGAGGGGGAGACGGCTGTTGAGATGTCTCAAAAGTCTATCCAGGGGTATGCTTACAGGCAAAGGGGAGGGGGGGTGGGGGGATGCAGAGGGTGGAAAGCGGGGATGAAAGAGGGGAGGGGAAGGGTGTTGGGGGTTTGGATGATGAGAGGTAGAGGCGAGTTGGAGTGGGGGGCATGGGTAAGAGGGGGAGGGAAACAGAGAGGACAGGGAAGCGAGTTGGCTCTTTCTTTCTTCTTTCCAGGAGGGAAGGGCGATCGAAGAGGGGAGGGGAGGGGTGCTGGGGCTTGGATTGGATGATGAAAGATGGAGGCGAGTTGGAGGGGGGACTTAGGGACGAAGGGGAGGGTTTTTGAGACGTCTCAAAAACCCTCTTTTATCCTGAGGGGCTTGGATGATGAGAGGTGGAGGCGAGTTGGAGAGGGGCTTAAGGGAGAAGGGGAGGGAAACAAATGGGACAGAGGGGTGAGTTGACTCTTCCTTCTTTCCAGGAGGGAAGGGCGACGGAAGAGGGGAGGGGAGGGGTGCTGGGGGGATGATGAGGAGGCGAGATGGAGGGGGGCTTAGGAGGGAAGGGGAGGGAAACAAAGCGGACTGAGGGGTGAGTTGACTCTTCCTTCCTTCCAGGAGGGGAGGGGTGCTGGGGGGATGATGAGGAGGCGAGATGGAGGGGGGCTTAGGAGGGAAGGGGAGGGAAACAAAGCGGACTGAGGGGTGAGTTGACTCTTCCTTCCTTCCAGGAGGGGAGGGGTGCTGGGGGGATGATGAGGAGGCGAGATGGAGGGGGGCTTAGGAGGGAAGGGGAGGGAAACAAAGCGGACTGAGGGGTGAGTTGACTCTTCCTTCCTTCCAGGAGGGGAGGGGTGCTGGGGGGATGATGAGGAGGCGAGATGGAGGGGGGCTTAGGAGGGAAGGGGAGGGAAAAAAAGCGGACTGAGGGGTGAGTTGACTCTTCCTTCCTTCCAGGAGGGGAGGGGTGCTGGGGGGATGATGAGGAGGCGAGTTGTAGCGGGGCTTAGGGGAGAGAGGGAGGGCAACAAAGGGGACAGGGATGCGAGTTGGAAGGGGGCTTAAATGTTGGGAACGTGGGGGAGGACCGATGGGGGACAGAGGGGCGAGTTAATAGCTCTTCCGAAGATCCCCCTTGGAAGGGAGGAGATAGGGGACGGAGAGAAAATGAGAACAAAAAATAAAAAAAAATTTATCTAGTTAAAAATAAAAATAAAAATAAACGAACTAATCTAGAACTGATAGAAATGCAAGTGGAAACAAAATATATACCAACGAGAAAGTATGTTATTTTCAAAACAATTTCGCCATTCATCAAGTTCATTCTTGCCATGTCCTCGTTGATCCTCGTTGTTTTGAGGCAGAACCACGTCACATTGTTCCCAGATGCGCCAATCACTGTCACGATAATGAAGTTATAATGTGGTGCTTTAATTGAATTGCAAGCCAACGCGAATGATATAGCCTATCCTTACCGCCAGAGATAGACGACGGCTGTTGCGGCGGGTGTTTGTTATTCAATAATGTTTGTTGGGGTGATGGCAGGATTTTTGTTAAGCGACATGGGATGTGATGGGATCTGAAGGCAATAGTAGGTAGCCTGAGCAACCTCTCGAAATGGATTGTCGTCGTCGCAATTGGCTTTGAACAACGACGGGCGATGTTAAAGTTTCCTTCGTTGATTATGCAAGTGGAGCTCACAGTCACGACCATGGTACACTAACTTTGTGAATGGTCAGGTCAACTTTTACTCGGTGAGATAGGACGTGAGGGGAAATGCCAGCAGGGCAGGGATTCCCCTGCTTTGAGAGAAGTTTCACGCGTCTAGGGTTGAACGGCTAGTTGAGAAACTGGGGAGGAAATAGGGGAGCGGAGGATGCTCTGTTGGCAGGGTAGGCGATTCCTCTTCTCACTAGTCAGCACACGCGGTTTGCTTTACTTAAAGTTTCTGTTATGGTACCGGTACCTCGGATTACACTAACACACTCTTGTTGCCTTTGACAAAAAAAAGTGCATGTACACCCTGTTTCGCGCTAGCAGAGCATCTGGTTGCAGAACATGCACTGGTTGTAGAACGTCACCACGTTTGAAATGGTCTTATCACCGACGGTACAAGCACATTCACAAGAAAGCGGTTAGCTAGGATGCTGCATGGTAAAGAACATTAAACAAGCGTTTTAAAGCGGTTGAAAAGGGTATACAGCGATAAAGAAAAATTTTGCCCCCAGTACCACTCCGTCAGCTGGTGCGGCTTTGCCCGCAGGTTTCAGCCATACGGTTTATGGCACCTGACCGCACTGTAGCAGCGAATCGCGCAAGGTGAGAGGGTCGAGAAACAGGGTGTACTGGCGTTTAATCCAATACGTGAGTAGTTTGAGGCCACATGTTTCTTGGTATTTTTCTCTTTTCTTAAGTTCGTTCATCACGAGTGGCGGAGGTTGCATTGAATTCATCGAGGAACAGCTGCCTTTCGTTCATTGTGACGTGCGCTCCAGAATTCCGTTGACCAATCGCTGCGAGTCTTGCGATCATCCTCATCTTCAAGTAGCGGCGGCGGAAAAATGATTCCTCGGGATTGCTGCACGCGTGGCGTGACGAGACAGCAATTCTGTGTCGTCGGTTACCCAGTCTCCACAGAACGCGCAAACAATGCCGTGCAACTCGTCTCCATAGGTTGGTCGGCGATCCGTCCAGGTGCCACAAGTCTACTGTACACATGCCCCTGGGGGAGAACGAGGGACTTGGCATGGAAAAAGGGGGGTCCTTTCTGCTGGGACAAGTCCTGGGAGATTATACGGGCAGTCACATTTGAGGCCGTTTTATCGCGTTTGGTTACAGGGCTATGACAAACAGTCACAGTACAGTAGATTCTTATCGCGGGTAATCACAGTGCTATCACGGATGGTCACACCTCGCCTCTAAAAGCTATCACGTTTGGTAACTCAATGATATTTTGAAACCACAAAAGACACTGTAGAGATTTTGGGGAATTACAATTTATATTGCTTGTTACCTCGCGCATCATTTTAGCCTGTCATTTAGGGGAATGAAAAAACATAAACCCCTAAATGATTGCACGTTCTTCGGGAGGCATCAACCCTAAACACCATGCGACAAGGTGTTTAGGGTTGATGCATCCCGAATTAAATCCCATCCGAGCGGGTTTTAGTTAAATTTTTTTGTCTTGCGGAACAGAATTACCCTTCGATTTTACCCGTCTAAAAGTGATATTCTTAGGGTCATTGGGCATCATTCGAACAGAGGACAATCGAGTAGTAACAAGAATTTGCAGATGTTTTTAATGAGTTATCGAGAGTTGTCGCAAAACTATTTCGTCATACTACGGACAAAACGGCGCGCGTGAGAAAACTTTCCTTGAATCCCTACAGTGACTTGAGTGGTTTCAACTTTCCATCGACCGTTTCAACGAGTGACCAAACGTGATAGCTTTTCGAGGCGAGGTGTGACCATCCGTGACAGCACTGTGATCACCCGCGATAGAAATCTATTGTACTGTGTCTGTCTGTGATACTCCTGAGACCAAGCGTATTAAACCGGGATTGATTGTGACCGCTCATATAATTTCCCAAAAGTCGTTGCTCTCATCGACGGAAAAGTGAACAGTTTTACGCGGAACCGATGGGAAAGGCATGGGGCAGACAGTCTGATTTTTAGTGTAGTTCCACCATTCATTAGACATTGGATCATAATAGGATCATAATAAGGTTATTAATGTTTGAGGAAACAGGTATCAGTGCTTTACCAATACACATGTGAAATTCAGTATTCGATTGAAAAAAATATCGTAGAAAAGCATTTTCTACAGAAGTGTCATGACACGGGCGGTATGCCCTACCAAGAGAGACGCGGAATTGAGAGGAAGGACATGTCCTCTCCAACAGACACCATCCAGCCACAGTTATTCGTCTGTTGCGAAGCAGGATCCTAGCAGAACATCAAACCAATGCCACGCATGCTCATGAAGCTTGACAGCTGGACATTCTCTGGCCTCCTGCGCCCGCTTGGCGCAGCTTGCAGTTCCAACCTGCAAAAACCCCTGCTACAGTTCAATGTAAGTTGGACATGTCAAACAGAGCCGACAGACAGCCATCACTGTACAGTGATGCGCCAGACAGCGCATCTTGAGTGCTCATATCCAGGAGGTTTCGCACAGCCTGAGAATCCAAAACGATGACATCATGATGACAATTGCTGTTGGGTAACTGTAGCTGTTAATTCTTTCATGGCTGTGACAATTTCTGGTACACCCTGTTTCGCGCCACACTGACATTCGCTGTATTGACAGGCCGTTTATTCTGACATCAACGCGTCCAAAACGGTAAGCACAATTTGCCGCACTCAACCGTACGCGATATCACTTTTTCAGTCATAAGCCCCGTTTTGTATCGTTCAATTAGACTGCATTTGCCCGCCACCAAGGGTTCGGCTGCAAGCACCAGCCCGCAAAATCCAAGCACACGTTCGCACTGTAGCCTGGGCTCCCGATTGTCAGACGTTGAGAAACAGGGTGTAAATCCACAACATGCTCTTGGGCACCTGTTCAAACAGCTTGTAATCCATGTAATGCACCTATTCGTATGGTAATTATAAGTTCCTTAAGCTTGATTTAGGCACCAATTCATATGGTAATTATTCATTTTTGCACCATCGGAAATACAAGGAACCTGCAACTTTTGCCAAACTCGTTCCAACACACTGAAAATGGACACGAGGAATTACCATCAGCTGAAACTGGGAGGCGGCCAGAAAACCATGGTTGATGGTAACCATGTAACATCCATCCTCAACTCATTTGTCACATCTGATCATATTTCTTTAAGCAAGAGCCTTCTTCACAGCCTTGGCTTTCTGTAAATTGCAAGTGAAGGCGAGTGGGAAAAAACCACGAAAGGTGGGGGCGAGTAGAAAGAGGAGAGGGGGGAAAGGGGGGACAGGGGGGGGGAAGGGGGGGGAAGGGGGGGGGGGGGGGGGGAAGAGGGAGAGGGGCAAGGGAGGGGGGGGATCAGTTTTGGAGAAATTGAAAACCTAAGAACAGAATTGAGTTAGATTACAAACAGAAAACGAAAAATGTGAGGGGGTTTGGGGTGAAGGGTGGAAAGGGGGGAAGGGGCTAAGGGTGACGGAGGGGGAAACGGAAGGGAGGGGTCAGGGAGAGTGGGGTAGGGAGAGTGGGGTAGGGAGGGTGGGGTAGGGAGGGTGGGGCAGGGAGGGTGGGGTAGGGAGGCAGAGCAGTACTTTCCAAAACGAACACGGCAAGCGGTGTAGCTGTACAGTACCTTAAATGCACCAGAAGCACCTACCTTTCACAGTTACCCCCAAATATCTACAGTGCACGGACAGTTCCTGTGAATGAACAGTACCTGTGAACGGGCAGCAGCAATCTTGAAACGCTCGAAGTCGGTTAGAGCCGCCCGCTTCTTCTGGATCAGCAGCTTCCTCCCCCACGAGCTCGCCTCCCACTTGCTCTGCACCTCTGTTGGAACACGCATGGCGATGTAGGGGTAGGAGGATGGGTGGTGGTGGGGGTGGGGATGGGCAGTGGTGGGGGTAGGGGATGGGATGGTTGGGAGGGAGGAAGGGGATCAATGGTTGCTTCTTCTGGGTCAGCAGCTTCCTTCCCCACGAGCTCGCCTCCCACTTGCTCTACACCTCTGTTGGAACACGCATGGCGATGTAGGGGTAGGAGGATGGGTGGTGGTGGGGGTGGGGATGGGCAGTGGTGGGGGTAGGGGGTGGGATGGTTGGGAGGGAGGAAGGGGATCAATGGTTGCTTCTTCTGGGTCAGCAGCTTCCTCCCCCACGAGCTCGCCTCCCACTTGCTCTGCACCTCTGTAGGGTTGTGGTGGGTGGGGAAAAGGTGGCTGAAACTTTTGTAAATAGTGTATCAACATATGGGAGCCATGAGGGCGGGAGGGGAGGCGGGAGGGGGGGCGGGAGGAGAGGGGGATAGTACGATACCAGAGGGAGACGGGTAGAGGGGGAGGGGAAGGGGGGGGGAAGGGAGGAAGGGGAAGAGAGGGGGACTGGGGGATTGGGAAGAGAAAGCTGACATCCCATCAGCCGTGTGAGAATCGGCAGCACGAGAGGAATGCTCTCGCATACGACAAGGCTGAAACTTGTGTGAGTAGTGTATCATCATATGGGAGCCATGCTAACGGAAGGGAGAGATCCGGGGATAGTAAGCAAGAAAGAGGAAGAGGAAATGGGGGCGTGGGGAAGAGGCGGACTAGAACGAGGGGGAATGGGTGATGGGGGGTGGTGAAGAAAGAGAGCGACATCCCATCAGCCATAAGAGAATCGGCAGCACGAGAGGCATGCTCTCGCATACGACAAGGCTGAAACTTTTGTGAATGATGGGTTTCATCATGTGGGAGCCATGGAGGCGCGAGAGAGAGTGGGCGCTGAGAGAAAGACAGCAAGCGGGGCGGCGGGAAAACACACAAAAAAGGGGGGGGGGAAGTGGGGGCTTGGGGTTCAAGCCTATCCCTAACACACGTAGTTTGCATAATCCCAAACCCTAATTCCTTCACCACCGGCTTTGATGGCAGCGCGCAGCTCCTTCTTCGAGGCGGCCTTGGGAATGCCGGTGGTGACGTCGCTGAGAGACAAACCCTAACCCAGCACAAACGGGAGATAAAACTCAACCCTAGCCAACCAGCACCACAGTTGACCCACAGAAACCGCGTATCACCACTCACCACCGGCTTCGATGGCGGCGCGCAGCTCCTTCTTCGAGGCGGCCTTGGGAATGTCGATGGTGATGTCCGTCAGCGAGAGGCGCTTGAAGTTGATCTGCTGGCGCTCCATGCCTGTGAAGTCAATTAGGGCCTGGGGTTGGGGGGAAGGGGGAGCGGGGGCGCCGGGGAAGGAGCGGAGGAACGGGGAACGGGGAACGGGTCGCAAGGGGGAAGGGCGCAGGGGGAACGAGGGGAAGGACGAGGGGGTGAGGGTAAAGTTTGGTGATGTCCGTGAGCGACAGGCGCTTGTATTTGATCTGCTGGCGCTCCTTGCCCGTGAAGTCCACCAGGGACTGGTGAAGGCGGACGAGGGGGAGGGTGCGCGCACGGGGAAGGGCGCAGGGGGAACGGGGGATGGGAGGAGGTGGTGGGGGTAAGGTCTGGTTATGACTGAAAGCAAGGGCGCTTGTAGTTCATTCGCTGGCGCTGTGCCGCCCACCAGGGCTTCAAACTATACGCCAACAGAACAGGTCACGCCACGGCGGGTTCCGTGCCGAGAAAGGCGCAGACGGTAAGAAAAAAACGGGTATTACGGCATCGAATGTTAAGGCGCCTCGAAAAAGAAGACTAGCGAAGTCTCTCGCCTTTCCGGTCTTAAGACACGCATGCTTAAGGGGGCAGGGGGAATGGCGAAAAAAAGGACTAGATTCTCTGCGACAACCGCACCGTGGCTCCGATACAAGTGGCTGACACCCTGACCGACGGGAATCGCCGAATCCCTAGTTGATGGGATTGCTGAAACCCTAGTCAGTGTGACTCGCGAAAAACCCTAATCCTAGTAAACTGACGGTACCTGCAATTGGAATAGATGAAATTCTAATTGGACGCCCGTGCTCCACAGTACTGCAATTTCTCAAAATGGAGCAGCATCACCAAAAAATGGTTCCTCCGCTGCTGCTGTGAACATGACTGT